CGGGGTTGAATGAGCAGCACAGCAACGTAATTGAAACAGCCCACATGTCCGTTGCATTGCGTTGCATTTCTGTTTTCCATGACTAACTTCTTGCATTTACTACCCAGTGATACTTCACATTATCTGTCTGTCTGTCTGTCTGTCTGTCTGTCTGTCTGTCTGTCGTCTGTCTGTCTGTCTTCTCATCCGTGAACCTAGACATTCCGAAGTTATTTCGTCATCTAGGAACGTCTTCACAGCTCTTTATGCCAAACATTACTCTATCTGGTCATAAAAATTGCATAAGCAAACGACCAAACTCGATCAACAAACCTGGTTCCGTGATGCGTATTCCAACGATCCCAGTTAAAGGATAATTACAAACAGTACACGTCATTATTGGTAGAGCCAGCCAAAAGCGTGGTATATATGGGGTTGATCAAAGTCTAAAGTCGTTTGTCCAGAATTGGCGTCATGAGGGCGATGATGGAGAGATTGCTCGTTTGCTCGTTTCCCTAATGACTACGTATCCGGGGCTGCCGACATAAGGCGGACACTTTCTCGCAGTGGTGACTGATCTCAATCCATTTCAAATTCAAACCTCATGAATTCTAAGGGGAAATTTACACTTCTCCTGATAAGTACAAATGCTCGAAAATCCAAGGTTGAAGATTTTGAAGACAATATTGGAAAAGGAGACAATCTATGGTACTCTTTCATGATTTCAAAGGAAAAATTTGTTGTGTATATAGCAAATGACCTGGTTGGGTTTCATCAGCACAGTGCGCGAATCTACCTACCCAACTGGAAATCGAACCCGGGACCTCTCAGGCAGAAAGTAATCATATTATCCATTCGGCCACTGGGCAAATGATCAGGTCGTTTCTCATTTTGAATACAAATTGTACAGCACAGATCATCTTTTTGAGCTTGTTTCGAGCCAGGGATCTCCCTCAACTCAGCACAAGCTTCCGGGGTTATTACTCGGTTGGAAACATTCACCACCCTCATTCATTTCATCACTAAATCGTTGAACAGCTCTGTTAAGTCTGTTCGGTGTGTTTTTCGACTACTCTTTTGCATTGGATTCCATCCCTCGGTCTACTTTGTTACAAAGCTGGAATCGTTTGAATGCCCCACGCAGTTGTTAGCTTGGCTATCCAACTATTTTACCGATAGGATACAAACCACTAGATTAGGGAAGGCCATATCGAAACCCTTAGTCAACTACTCCGGGGTCCTTCAAGGAGCTGTGCTATCCCCATACTTATTTGCCACTTATATTTGTCATATTCCCTGTGTTTCTCCCGCACGTATTGTGAAATATGTAGATGATGTGTTGTGTCAACCAATTTCTTCTTACTCTGATCTTAGCTCTTTCACCGATAATCTTGCTCAAATTCAGTCATTCTCCTCCTCATCGGGGCTAGCCCTGAACCCCAGTAAATGTGTTGAATGTTCATAGAGTTTTGCTCGCTCTCCATATGTGACAGACCCCACAGTGATTAATAACAATCCTTTATCCAGGGTGAACTCTGTCAAATATCTAGTGTAACCATAGATAGCAATGTGCATTGGTCAACCCACATCCACAACTGCATTGGTAAACTGCGGTGCCTTTCATTTCAAATACGTAAGCTCAGGCAGTTTCGCGCATCCCAGTCAGTTATTTCTACTTTACTCTGCTGTTCCCCAGTTATTTTTCCTGGTTTACTCAAACAGGATTTCAAAGTATTTAGCCACGGTCTAACCATTATTAGTTGTATCTCTTCCATTCCTGTGAATGAGTTAGCATTAGAGCTTTCAGAGATTCATACCACTTCCTGTTTCGAATTTTGCTGAGAGGATTCTCACAGATTCTGACCATCCATTGCATGCAGAACTGACACTTGGTCGTTCCCATCATTCAACACGTTCCCAATAGTAGTTACCGACTGTTTTACTTTAAACACAACCTGTTGGTCAAGTATGACATTTCTGACAGAAGTATTGAACTGTTTTTTACATATGCTGTCCTGTGATAACTTCATTCCTTCAACATGGCAGAATATCAACACCTTTTCTTAAATATATTCGCCGTGAAAAGGAACGCGCATTTAAATGTGGCAGGAGGGCCGAAATGCAACGATTATCGTCCCTAATCAAGAGTGAAATAAGACGGTTGGACGCCCTTTATGCAAGTCAGTTTTTTGGGACGAGGAACTGTAAATCTATGTGGCGTGGAATCAATCTTCTTTGCAGGCAGAAGACAGTGATTTCCATTCCCTCTATCGATATTGAAAAACTGAATAATGCATTTATTCATTCTTCGTCCGACAAATACCCCAGTTATGCTGATTCCTGTTCTTCAAACATCCAACCTTCATTTGATCCCATCACCTCTGGTGAGATATATAAACACATGTGCTCTCTCAAGGTGTCCACCGCACCTGGTCCAGACGACTTAAGTCCCACCCTTCTTAAACACTGTGCTCTGCCACTGTCTCAGATTTTCGCACACATAGCTAATCTTTCACTCGAACTCCGAACTACTCCAGACTGCTTGCGTCCAGTGAGAATTACTCCCATCCCAAAAGGAACGTCGCAGGTCCCAACAGCGAAGCGATTTAGACCAATTGCTCTCACACCCACTGGCTTGAAATTGATGAAGCGATCAGTTCTGCACCGTCTTTAGTTATCTCTTACCACCCCCGATGACACTTATCAGTTTGCATACAAACATAACCGCTTTACATTAGATGCCGTTTCTTCCCTAGTTCATTTCATCTGTAAGTCCTTTAACGAGAAAGCTAAATATGTGCATTGTTCATTTCTTGACTACTCCTCCGCTTTCGACTCGGTGCCCCGCTGTCTTTTACTTAACAAGCTTCAATCTTTTGGCTGTCCGGCTTCTCTTTTTGAATGGCTTGCAGATTACTTTTCACAAAGATGTAAGTTAAGTTGTTGTTAAGTTGTATGTTAAGTTGGGACGAAGACAGTCAACCGCGTCACTCAATAGCTCGGGTGTACTTCAAGGTGCTGTCCTATCACCTTATCTTTTTCGACTTATATAAGTGACTTACCTATTACTCCCCCTGTTCGACATTTTAAGTACGCTGATGATATCGCCATTTCCGTTTCCATATCTAGCCAATCAGAACTGGCTGAATATAATACAAACCTATCCCACCTCGTTTCATATTCCACTTCTTCCGGTCCTAATCTTAATCCTGAAAAATGCCTTGAATGTAATTTCACTCTAAACCGTACCCCATCTCCCTCTGACAATGTCCAAATTCATGGAAAGCCGATGAGCAGGGTCAGCCATGTGAAGTACTTAAGTGTCACACTTGAAACTAACCTTCGCTGGTCCTTAAATACCTAAAGTATTGCTCGCAAGTTGAAAAGGTTCTCTTTTCGGATCAGAAGGCTGCGCCAAT